TGGTCATGCTGTTTTAAACTTCCCATGAGCTAGAATGTGGAAGGAGAGTGAATGATCTTACACTGTGAGAATAAGGCAACCCACAAGGGGTAGCAGATCAATGAGGAAGAAGTAGACTATTCTTTGAAAACTTCATGGAGAAGAACTACCATGCCATCTTAGGCTTCTATGCAAAACAAATAAACTTCTATTCTCTATAAGCCATTTTCTTGTTCTCTATTAAAACATTTGAAATTGTATCTTAACCATCACAAACTTTAAGATCTCTGTCAATTCTAAGAAAAAAAAGAAAAAACCCACTGCCATCAAGTCAATTCCAACTCATAACAACCCCCATTGGGTTTCCAAGGCTCTAAATCTTTACAGAAGTAGATTGTCACATCTTAAGAACCTGTAAAAATATTAAGAGAATGATATGATTCCATTCTCAATAAAAAATGCAAAGTCAAGGTAGAATAAGGTATGAAGAACTCAAGAAATTTATCTTTGAAAACAAAAAGGCTGAATTTTTTATATATACTTTTTATGAATTGAGGGAACTCCTCGGAAGGAAGGTTGGGCAATCCTACTTTCGTAGCGATACTGCCTTGGAAACCCAAGGAGGGGTCGCTATGAGTCGGGGCCGACTCGAGGGTACATAACAACAACAACAACAACAACAACTGATGGTATTGTGGCTAAAGCATTTGGTTGCTAACAAAAAGGTTGGCAGCTGGAACCCACCAGCCCTTTCCTGGAAAAAAGAGGAGGCAATTTGATTCCATAAAGATTTATAGCCTTGGCAACCCTATGGGGCAGTTGTACTCTGTCCTAAAAAGGGTAGCATAGTGGCTAAAGCATTTGACTGCTAACCAGAAGGCTGGTGGTTCAAACCCACCAGCCACTCCTCGGAAGGAAGGTTGGGCAATCCTACTTCTGTAGTGATACTGCCTTGGAAACCCAAGGAGGGGTCGCTATGAGTCGGGGCCGACTCGAGGGCACATAACAACAACAACAACATGATTCAGAATAGACTGAATGTCAGTGCATGGGTTTTATGACTTGAATAAAATTCCTGATCCTTGTACATGTGGATGTGATCCTGTTTGGAAATAATGTTTTCATTTGTTATGTTAAAGAGGCCATATCATTATATTAAAAAAAAAAAAAACTCACTGCCCCTGAGTTGATTGCAACCCATAGTGACTCCTCCTTGGGTTTCTGAGGTAGTATCTCTATGGAAGTAGATTGTCCAACCTTCCTTCCGAGGAGTGGCTGTTGGGTTTGAACCACCAGCCTTCTGGTTAGTAGTCAAATGCCTTAGGCACTACACCACCAGAGCTCCCATATCAGTGTACAGAGGATCGTAAACTTAATAATTTCTGAATTATAAAAAGACGAGAATAGACATGGAAGCATACACACACACACACACACACACACACGGGGGAACACAAATGCTAAGGCCTGTCAAGCACTGAGAGCAAACGCAAGAAACTAAGAGAAAGGCTTATGGAAGGAATTAACACAACTAAGGCCTTGATTGGAACTTTTAACCTTGAAAATTGTGAGAAAATAAATTTTTATTCTTTAAAGTCACCTACTTGTGGTATTTCTGTTATGGCAGCCCTAGGTAATTAATGTAATACTATTTCAGCATCTGTTGCTGTCCTTCATAATGCAATTAAATAATTAACAGATACAGGTAATTTTCACCTATTTTATGTCCATAGTCTTAAAATCTCACATATAAGTTCTATTATCAGAAGAAAAGTTTGGATATTAATAGGAAATTTTCATCAGAACAAGAATAAGTTGGTGTCTTAAAATTAATGAAATACATATTAAAATAAATATGTTGTTATGTGCAGTTGAGTTGGACCCAACTCATAGAGACCTCTCCTTAGGTTTCCGAGGCGGTATCACTATGGAAGTAGATTTCCCAACCTTCCTTCCGAGGAGTGGGTGGTGGGTTTGAACAGCCAGCCTTCTGGTTAGCAGTCAAGTGCCTTAGCCACTACACTACCACAGATATGAAAAAACAGAGATATAGAGAGGTTTATTTTAAGGAAATGGCTTATGCAGTTATGGAGGATGGCAAGTCCCAAATACAACAGGTGTCAGGCTAGAGGCTTTTCCTGACTCGCATATTTGCAGGGGCTGATGGATATAAAATCAACAGGTCAGGTGGAGGTATGCTGGCTCACATTCCAAGAAGCAGAGGTCAGAAGATGACAAGTTGGATGCAGGGTGGAGAAAGAGTAAACTTTGTCATACATCCATATATATTGGGTGCAGGCCATGCTTTCAAGGAAACTGTTTGGCTTTTATCTGAATAACTGCTCACATTGGATCACAGAATGGAAGGTCATTATATTATATTGAGAACTCTGGTAGCATAGTACCTAAGGCATTTGACTGTTAGCCAGAAGGCTGGTGGTTCAAACCCACCAGCCACATCTCGTCAGGAAGATTGGGCAATCTACTTCCATAGAGATACTGTGTCAGAAACTCAAGGATGGGTCTCTATGAGTCGAATTTGACTCGACCACAGTAGTTTCGTTTTTTGCTATGGAAGGGCAATCAGTCCAGTGTCTACCAAACTGCTGAAAATCATAGCCTAGACAAATTGGCACTTAACATTAATCATCACAGATACTCTATTCCACCAGGGGTGGGTCCTCTGATGAGGGAAAGAGAGGTTGTTGTATTCAATAACTTTTTAGCAAATCATGCTTCTAGAAGGTATGTGGCAATACTTATTGTTAAGGTGCCAATTATCATAGTTTTATTGCCATTGCCACTATTATTTACTTATTTTTAAAACTAAGGGAGTAAACATTGTCTACTGGAAAGAACTGGGCTATGGAATTAAATTGACCTTGGTTTAAAACTGAGCTCTATCTTGGTTGAGTTGTGAATCTGGAGAAATTATCTAACCTGTGTAAGCTTTAGCTGTCTCAACTATAAAATAAAAACGATAAAATAAGAACTATAAAATAAGAACATGTAGAGGTCCTAGGAAAATTAAATGAAATTGAGTCTGTATCTATCATGATACGACTTATTCTTGCTCAATAGTGTTTTCTTCATCTTTACATACATTTGCAATAATTAAGCCATGAAAATGTAGATTTTAGACATTTAAAGTAGTTAATATTTGGTTAGAAGCTCTGGTGGCATAGAGCCTAAAGAATTTGACTGTTAATCAGAATGCTGGCAGTTCAAACCCAACAGCCACTCCTGGGAAGGAAGATTGGGCAATCTACTTCCACAGTGATACTGCCTCGGAACCCAAGGAGGGGTCACTATGAGTTGAATCCACTAGATGACAGTGATTTTTTTTTTTAAAATATTTAGTTACTATTTCTAGGACACTAGAAACTCTGGTAGCATAGTGGCTAAGACACTTGCCTGCTAACCAGACGGCTGGCGGTTCAAACCCACCAGCCACTCCTCGGAAGGAAGGTTGGGCAATCCTACTTCCATAGTGATACTGCCTCGGAAACCCAAGGAGGGGTTGCTATGAGTCAGGGCCGACTCGACGGCACATAACAACAACAACAACAAATTTCTAGGACACATAGTATCTAGAAAATGTCTTCCTACGTACTGAACTCCACATCCTGTTGCTTGTTTAAATGTAATGATATTTCTAATTCTTGCCTAGTGTTTTAAGTGCTAAGTAGTATGCTTCCATTGGGTTGCCTGCCCAATGACAATTTGCTCTTTCCTCCCATCAAAATGATCCCAGTTTTGTTCATGTAACCACTCCTCTCTCATACAATCATGTCTCATGAGAAGTGACCAATCCTTGATTCCAGAGGTAGACTTGACTATTCTATGGTTATTTCCCTCCCTTTTTCAATGAACCAAAACCAAACTCACTGCCTTCAAATTGATTCAACTCATAACGATCCCTCCTTGGGTTTCCAAGGCAGTATCACTACAGAAGTAGATTGCCCAGTCTTCCTTCCAAGGAGTGGCTGGTGGGTTTGAACTGCCAGCCTTCTGGTTAGCAGTCAAATGCTTTAGCCACCATGCCACCAGAGCACCTAACTGATGCAGAAATAGGTATGTGACTCATTTTGAGCCAAAAAGATATGAGAGGTTTGCTAAGTCTTCTAGAAAAGCTTTTCTTTATTTTTCAGGGAATATTAATGGAAGAAATTCTCTCCCCCCATTCTTATTTTTCTCATTCATCTTCTCAATGTTGTACTTTGAGGCTCTGAAGATGAAATTTCAGCAAACATCTGGCTACCAGCCTGATGACACTACCAAATCAAAGAAGAAAGCGGATAAAGCCAGCTTTTGAAATCTGTCAACCTTGAGCTCCTCAGCCCTTGCAGCTGCAAGAGTTGAGAAAAGCCTCTAGCTTGACGTTTGATCCAAGAACTTTGGACTTACTTATGTATTTTCAGTTATATGATACAATTAATTTCCTTATTATTTACACCATTTTGTTTTAGTTCTCTGTTAGCGTAGCATAACTGAAATATTATCAAGACATAATACTTGTACTATGGCCATCTACTCCAATTGTCAGGAATATTGTCCTCAGTATTCTAATTCAGCTCTTCTGCCCAAGTTTCATACTGTTTGTTTATTTATTTTTAGTACTCTCTTTCCGGGAGCTCTGGTAGCATAGTGGCTAAGACACTTGCCTGCTAACCAGACGGCTGGCGGTTCAAACCCACCAGCCACTCCTTGGAAGGAAGGTTGGGCAATCCTACTTCTGTAGTGATACTGCCTCGGAAACCCAAGGAGGGGTCACTATGAGTCGGGTTTGACTCGACAGCACATAACAACAACAACAACTCTCTTTCCATGAGGTTTGTTCCTTCATCTGTAATAGTAAATTTGGTGGGTCATATAGCATTTATTTATTTTGTCTAAACTGCTGTTTCCCAATTTAAATCTACATGAGATTAAAAAAAAAACAAACTTTATTTCCATTTCCCTCAGGAAAAACAAAAGGTTCTGAAAGTATATTTTCATGAACTCTTATTTGTATTACTTACTTGATTTGATTTCAGGCCAGTCAACTAGTTCTATTCTATGGTCTTCATACTTTATGTCCAAATATGCAAATATATAGCGAATAATTTCTGCTCTCCCCCTCATGTTAAAATAAGTAAGTTTGTAGTTTGGCATAGTATGATTCTGGAAAGAGAAAAAGGGAGGGATTAGTTTAACAACCCTCTAGAGATGTATCAACATATTTCTTTTGGCCTTTTCTCAAAACTTTATGACATCTTTTTAGATAACTGGGGATATTAGAGGATATTTCAAAACCAAAATTATAAATCACTATCTTAATAACATGCAAGAAAGACTTGATAGAAATAAGATTTTCTCTCTCTCTCTGTCTCTCTCCTCTCTCTCAACACTAGCTAGAACATTCCAGAGAAATAATCAAATTCAAATTTTACTTATGAAAAGTACTTCAGATTTTAAGAGCATACCCACACATCAACCTTCAAAGAGTGGAATAAAACTCTTTCCATTTTAAGTTATTTTTGCCCTACTATTAGTATCGTGTGGTGTGTTGTGTTTATCATTTTCTTTGTTTGCTTTGGTGATACAGCTAGCTCAGAGTTTGTGAGGATAGCTGTGTAGAAGTTGGGTACATGCAAGAGAAATAAGAGCCAGCCATGCCAATCTGTTAACCTCACCATTTTCCCAACCATGGCTTTTCTCTCCAGGATCAAAGGTTTAGGGAAATATTCCTCTCTGTTCTCTTATTATACCCATGCTAATGAGTTTTATTGGGTTGCTTGCACCCAATACAAACACGTCTTAGCTTAGACTTCTGTTGGGATGGGACACTGGTGAGCATATGCCTCAAATCTCTCACTAATAAAAATAAATAAATAAAATAACCCAAACTCACGGCAGTAGAGTCAGATCCGACTCATAGCGACCCCTCCTTGGGCTTCCAAGGCGGTATCACTATGAAAGTAGATTGCCCAAACTTCCTTCCCAGGAGTGGCTGGTGGGTTTGAACTGCCAGCCTTTTGGTTAGCAGTCAGGTGCCTTAGGCACTACACTACCAGAGCTCCTAAATCTCTCACTAGAGGAAGAAAATTCAAGAGATTAAACATCTGAATTCAGGGCATCAGCTCTAGGGGAATGTCCTTTGTCTATTTCAACTTCTAATAGGTGCAGGTAATCCTCGGTGTTCCTGGGCTTGTTGATGTCTCTGCCATGTGTGTTTGCCTTCACATATTTTCCCCTTGTGTTTTTTTTTTTCTTTATAAGACTCCACTCAGAAATGAGTAGGTTTAGGGCTTATCCTACTCTAGTATGACCTCATTAATATAACAAAAGAGAGCTCTTATTTGCAAACTAGGTCATATTTATAGGTACAGGGATTTGAACATTCATATTTCTTTTTTTGGGGGGGGGGGCACAATTCACTCCATAACACTGGTGATGGCAATTCCTAACAAACTAATTTCTCTGACCCCTGGATTTTCATGTCTAGGTATAGAGTGGAAGTGGTATTCTTGTTAGAAACAGGAGTGCCAAATTCAATCATTTCTTGCCCCACAACCATTCCAATTAGTAAGTCCAGTCCCCACCAAAATGAAATATGGAACATACCACACATATCAATATGAGAGGGAATGTTCTCTGTAGAGAGAAGAATTGATGAGTAAACTAATGAAAATTCCAAGATTTATAGACCCAAATTGCTTTTGGGGGAGAAATATGCATACAGAAAGTTCAAACTTGGGGGAACAAATTTAGAGCTCATCAAAACCATGGAATTATTTTCCAAGTTACTTAGAAATGTGGAGTTTCGAAAGATATGAGAGTATAAAAGTAGTAAATAAGAAATGTAGAGTAATAAAATTCCTTCTGAAAAAGAAAGCATTTTATGTCTTCATAATTAAGGGATTCTTCCCATCTAAGAAAGGAAAACCATAATTGTAATAATATCTTGACCTATTTCTTTTAAATTTCAGAAAGATAAAAAAGCCTTCTGAATGAGAAAAAATGGAAAAAGTGTCATTTCTAATTAAAGTTTTTATTTGAAAATCATTTTATGTAAAATCTTATTAATATTTGATGGCAAAGCTTATTTTTTGTCCATTATGATCAGCTTTAAAAATTAACCATATAACAAGTCCATGTCTTTTTGGTCAAATACCATATATATATTAATATATGCTTCTTGAATTTTGAATGAAAACAAAGGATTTTCTATTTCTGTTATTTGCAAAACATTACAATTTTATATTACATTTCACTGAAGTAAAGAACATTAAAAAAGTTTTAGCAGAAGTTGGTAGCGATCTGTTTTTCTCTGCAAATATATCTTTAAATCTGAGATTTGGCACAGATCCATGAACATCTGACAAATGCTTATCTTTCTTTCTAGAACCCCATTTTAACTGTCATAACTCATTAATGAAGCTGTACTTTAGCATCACATTACTGTAGTTATTTGCATAATTATATTTTCTACTGAACATAAGTTGATTTGTTTAGACTTATGTTGTAAGAAATCAGCTTTCTTGATATATACGGCCACAAAATTCCTAATTTGAAGCCTTTTAATTTTCAGGTTATATGTATACATTCTTATAACAATGAAAAAGAAATAAATTTGGAAACATTAACTGATTCCAAACATCGTTTCCATATTGCATAAAGCTTTTATATAAAAACAAACAAAGAATTCCAAGTAAATGTTTCTATGGTCAATGAAAACAGATAAGGAAATTTGAGATAAATGATAAAAATAAGCATAAGAATACTATCTGGAAGAAAAAAAAAATCCTCTTGTTGTGTTCGGCAATCTATTTCTGTTACAATAATCCCATTTTGCTAAAGCCTTTATTTCGTAGGACTAACAGACTAAACGGATGACGGTAAAATGCAGTGCAAGGGACTCAGTGAAGAATACATTCACGGGCTTATGAAAGGTGGAAAATAATGTGTGGTTTTGGAGTCACTTCTGCTACTTTCCCTCTTGGGCAAATCACCCAATGGTAGCCAAAAAGTGTCAGCTTGAACCCCCCAGAGGCACCTTGGTAGACAAGCGTGGCAATGTGTTTCTGAAAGGTTATAGCCTTGGAAACCTCGTGGAGCACTTGTACGCTGCACAAACAAATAGGGTCACCATGAATTGGAAATGACTTGACACCAACTAACAACAATAATAAGGGTGGAAAGAAAGAGACAAAACTATCTTTATTCACTATTGAAATGATTGTCTATATTCAAAATCCAAACCTAAGTTTCATATGGAAATGCTAAGCACCAAAGACAGTTAAGAAAAATTAGATGAGTATCAGAGAACTTGACTTACCATACAGCAATATTTCTATTAAAAAAATCTTATAATTAAGGTAATGGAATATTGGTTCCAGGATAGACATACAGAGGTACACAGAGTCTCAAACTAGAACCACACATATATGAAAAGAATGGTTTCTTAGTAGGGAATAAGGCAACTAAACTAAAGCGCTTCTGAGACAAAAGAGGAAAACACACATTGATAATCTCCCACTTCACATCAAACACAGAAATAACATCCAGATGGATTGTAGACCTAAATATGATTTGACTGGCCTAGGAAAACTCCAATATCATGCTGGACTCTTATTTCCTATTAACCTTTGTATCTGAATCCTTACAACTGCCATTTTGTATTAAGAAGCCTAAGCAGAGTATGCATGAAAGCTGCCTATATTCCCTGAAATGACACAGAAACAGGAAGTTAAAACCTGAAGTATGCTTTACAGATCTCCTTTACACCTAAAACTAACCACTGGCTTCCTTCCACTCCAGAGAAATCAAGTAAAGTTCCTGATTCAGCAGACAGATAAAAACTCTATCTGGAAATATGTTCAAAAAAGTTTAAAATGTAGTTTCTCAAAGACCATATGAATGGAGGAATAATAAGTACCCTAGATAGAAATTTCAATATATAAACTCATATGAAGGTAATCATTAAATATAGAAGATTTAGCTTCTAATATATAATACATGCTTTACATGGGAAATAACAGTGTTTTTGAAGTCTGTCTTGGTACTTTATGTCTTCAAGGTTTGTAGCTCTTTTCACATTACCTAGCACTGACAGGTTTAACTGATTAAAAAAGAAATGCAGAATAATTAAATCCCAGAGGCAATTTTAACATGGCTGTTGATAAACTACAAACTACCACGATAAAATCTGTTCAGTTTTAACCAAGCTTCTATTCTGTATATTGCTGTAAGAGCACAGTAAAGAATAGTCTCAACCATTCTAGTCTGTATGCCAGAAAGGTGACAATAATCCAAACTTAACTTTCTAGCAAAGAGGCTAATATCTAATTGATTTGTTAAACATTTTGCTAAAGATTTAACATAAGTGTAAAAGGGATAGAATTTCTGGGATAATTTTGATGACTATAAAACTTTACAAATAAGGAGACAAGTATTAACCATTTCAAAATTCATTTTAAAATCTAAATGCTGTTTATCTTGGTTTATTTTATTCACGAACACCTTGGTTGATTCGAACTCTTAAATGAAAGATACCAGGAGCTTAAAGCATACTCAATCCAGACATAGTTTTATATATTTCTAATAATAGTGCAATGGCCTGTGAATTTAAAGTATAAAAACAAAGATTATTTGTGAATTTGCCAACAGTTCTTTGCCACACTGTAACTTGACCAGTAATAAAATCTATAGAAAATGTCTTGGCACAGAATAATACTAGAATTCTCATTATATAGACTATGAAGCTATGAAATGCTATTGTCTACATAGGAGCTTCTTGCACACATTGACATTAATAACAGAACTTTAATACACCTCAAGAGCAGGTAGTAATGTTGATTTCCCTCATGTCATTGTCCCCAGGCAGTGTTAGTTCAATTCTGGAAAAGTTACCAGTTAGAATTACCTTGTAGGATAAAATATGTGAAGAAGAAATATAGGACTCTTCTGTTAACTGAGGAATTTACCGATTTCAGTTAGACATTGCATGATACATTTTGAATTGACAAGCTTGGATCCCTATTTTTCTATTAAGGACCAACTAAAAGTTATTTTAAATGGTTCTTCACATTAAAATCAGAACAAGAGGCATTATTGAAATATCCTTTGGGAGTTCATATTCTCTATCTGGGGTGAATTCCTTAAACTATCTC